TTAAGGAGAGTTGGTCAGAAAATTATTGTACAAGATCCAGTATGAGCTCTATATTGGGGAGTGCAATATATTGCAGCTGAGTTCTTTGAACAAACTCACTCCTGTGAAAACCACCATGTATTTTAAGGGTCATTCCAAGTGATTTATCTGTCTTAGTACAAAATTTTGCTTGTTCATTCGTTTTCTTCCTTCAGTTTCTCTCTAACACTCCAGTTTTAGTGCTTTCTCAGTTTTACTGCTTAGACTAAACCTAAGAGTACTGCATGCAGTTCTGCTCACTGCGGTATAAGGAGACAGCCCAAAACCCTAGAGGCAGTGTAGAGGAGAGCAATGAGGATGATCTTGTGAGTAGTCTGGATTAGTGGCATCTTTATACTTTCTCCCCGATCTGTACAAATAACAGAAATGTGACTATTTGAACTGTTTGCTGATACAGCAACGGATCAATGGTAAAGTTAGTACTGTTTACCTTTTACATCAGTTGGTACATATTTTGGCTCAGTTGGTAGCCCTCTTACTTCTGAGTCAGGATCTGAGTGGGTTGTAGATTCAACAACAACAAGAAGATTACATTTGTATAGCGCCTTTCATGTCGGGAGGACGTCCCAAGGCGCTGGACAGTGTACAGTATTTCAGACCCGAGCTTGCGTCAGGAGTGGAGAAGGGAGGGGAGGGGAAGGGGGGTGGCCGATGGCATGGTCGAAGAGGAGGGTCTTGAGGCGGGATTTGAAGGAGGCTAAGATGGGTGAGGCGGAGTAATTGGGGGATGGAATTCCAGAGTTTGGGGTCAGAGTGGCTAAAGGCTCTCCCGCCAATGGTGGGGCGGTTGGGTCGGGGGACGTGGAGCAGGCCAGTGCCAGCTGAGCGGAGGGAGCGGGCGGGTTGGTATGTGGTTAGGAGGTCGCAGAGGCCATGGAGGGCTTTGTTGGTGAGGACCAGGATCTTGAACTGAATCCTCTGATGGATAGGGAGCCAATGGAGTCGGGCGAGAGTGGGGGAGATGGGGTCACGGAGTTTGGTGTGGGAGAGAACATGGGCTGCAGAGTTCTGGATTTTCTGCAGCCTGTGGAGGGAGCCCCACGTTGGGACTTTGAACTCACAGTCTAGGCTGTTGAAGCGCCATCCTTCGGATGAGAAATTAAACAAATGTCTCGACTGCCTGGTCAATTAGAAAGGAGTTTTTCCGAGTGTCCTGGCCAACAATCCCCTGAATAAAATTGGTCATTCACTTCATGGCTGTTTGTAGGACATTGCTGCGCACAAATTGGCCGCCGTGTTGCCCCACAAAACAGTCACTATGCATTGCAGTAAATCCTGTGAAACTCTTTGAGATGTTCTCCTGAGGTGAAAGGTGCTATATCAAATATTATTATTGCACTCAGTTGTTACTCCTGAGGGTGAAGCAATATCGCTTCTAGCTGTAAAGTGAAACCTGATTTATATTTATTGCTCCCAATTGCATAAGCAGGTGTATATGCAGAACTCTGCTAACTGCTATTTTCAAGGCTCAGGAGTCGGGCTTCAGTACAATTACCTTTTGGATTTGCACTGCTTAACTTTGATGCATATAGCAAAAATCATCACGAAAAGCATGGTATAAACCCATCAATCAAGCAATCTGTGATTTCTATGTATGTGAATTAACAGAGAATACTGGTTTATGCAGGAACCAATGACCTGCAAAGAGAAGGTCCTGGTTGATTCGCTCAATAGATTTTTTTTGTATGTGGCAATCACAATATGCAGCTAAAGTGGTTTCACCCCTTGGTGTATCCCAAGGCTCCATCCTTGGTCTCCTTTTCCTCATTTACATGCTCCTTCTCTGCGATGTCATCTGCAGGGTAACCTTCCACATGTATGCGGATGACACACAAATCTACTTTTCATCCAGCTACAACTCTAGATGTTCTGTTAGTTTGTTTGTCAGACATCAAGGCCTGGATGAGCACAAACGAAAATAGCAGTTAGCAGAGTCAAGCAGGAGACAAGACGGAAGCCGTACTTCTTGGCTTCTGTCAACATCTTCTCTCCTGTGGCTCTGACCTCCCCGGCCTTTTCCTAAGATTAATCAAACCTGTAAGTAACCTTTGTGTCAGGTTTGATCCCCATCTGTCCTTCCTACCCTACATCCGGTCCCTAAACAAGACCCCTTTCCTCCACGTCCATCACATTGCCCGCCTCTGACCCTTGTCCACGCCTTCGTTACCTCCCAACTCGACTATTCCAAAGCCTTGCTTGCTGTTTTCCCCAGCTCCACTATCGATAAACCCCCATCACCCCAGTCCTCGCCAGGCTGCACTGCATCCCAAATACAGAACAGATCAACTTTAAAATCCTCACACTCATCTACAAATCCCTTTATTCCCTAGCACCTCCGACCTGCTTACTACCCACTCCGGCCACCTGCTTGTCTCTTGTCTCTTGTCCTCTCCACTCTCTCTCATTACCTCCTCCTTGACCCTCCTTCCTCTTTTTCAAATTCACTCCTGAAGACCTTCCTCTTCAACAGTGCTTACAGTCATCTCCTCACTCCACCTGGCTCGTCGTCCGTCAACCTCCGCCTCTGTTAAGCAACCCGAGGTGCTATCTCACATGAAGGACACTATTTAAATGTTGTTGGTGGTGTTGTAATAGGGTTATCCTGTAAATGTATATGGAATTTCAGTAGACATTTGTCTCATACGACAAATTAAAGCACATGGCATTAAAGGTAAATTGGTGGCCTGGGAAGATTTATGGTTAAAAGACAGAATGCAGGGAAAAGGGAATAAATGGATAGTTCTCCGATTAACTGCATGTAGCTGGTGGCCTACCTCAGGGGTCTATGCTTGGATCTCTATTGTTTTTCCATCTATAGCAATTTTGAAGTGGGCATAGGGGGAATGTTTTCTAAGTTTGATGATTATACTAAATTAGCGATCTGGCAAACTACGAATGAATGGAGGAAACTACAGGAGGACATAAGATACTTAGCAAAATGAGCATACTAGCGGCAGATGCAGTTGAAGGCTTGATGGGCCTCTGTTTGTAATGAAATTTCTACAAATTGAGACACTCTGACTCTAAGAGTGTGTTCATGTGAGCAAATAGGAAATGCTGAATATTACAGACTGGATCGCTCAGGTGATTTTTTAAAAAAACTATTCAGTGTTTTTAATTTTAGAAACTACTCAGCCTGTTGTATACAATCAAAGTATCTCTTATTGTTTCATAAAACATGACAATGAAATGTTCAATCTCGAAGGAGAACTCTTTTTTAAAAAAAAATGAACGACTATTGTGGGACACTGCTGTGTTTTGCCACAAAATATACAGCCCACTTTACAGTATATTCTGTGAAGCCCTTTGACACGTCTCAACGATGTGATAATGCGCTATATCAAATGTAAGGATTATTATTTAGAGTGAGACTGCATTTAATTCTCGCCAATAAACAAGTAGGATGGTACCGTACCATCATCCATTTTGAAATTTCGAATGATTGTCTAACTGAGGTTGAAGTGAAATATTTGGAAGAAAAACAAAGGATTACATTAATTTCACAGTCCTAATAGATGATGTTTAGATCAATGTACAACAACAACAACTTGCACTTGTATAGTGCCCTTTAGAGCCTGACTCCGAGCTGGTGGAGTGGGGGTAGTGGGGGGTGGTGTGACCATAAGCACGGTCGAAGAGAAAGGTTTTCAGGCAGGGCTTGAAAAAGGGGAGAGAGGGAGCAAGGCGGAGGGATTGAAGGAGAGTGTTCCAGAGTTTCGGGGCACAGTGGCTGAAAGCTCGACCTCCAATGGTGGAGTGGATGGTGCGAGGGACGAGCAGGAGGCCGTTGCCAGTCAAGCAGAGGCGCCGGGTGATGGATTGTGGAGTGAGGAGGTCGGAGAGGCTAGGAGGTGCCAGAGAATGAAGGGATTTTAGCACGAGTGTGAGGATCTTGAAGTTGATCCGTTCGGAGATGGGGAGCCAGTGGAGCCTGGCTGAAACTGGTGTTGTATGTATGAAGGACACCCCGAAAGTACTGCCTCCTATTTATTTTGTGAAGGATGGTAAGTGGTGCAGTAATGAAAAACGTACACATCCCCTGCTATGAAAGTTTTGTTTACTTCTAATTAGATGAAGGCACAAGACAGCAGTTCAAAATGGTACCTAACATTGAAACACACGTTAAGCAGAGAGCAAGCAGTGCAGTAATTGAACTTCTCACAGCTGAGGGGATTTCTCCGATTGAGGTTTACCATTACATGATTAAAGTATATGGATAGTTATATGTCGATGCAAGTTCTGTAAGATACCAGGTAAATTGTGTGGAAAGTGAATTTCAAAATAGGTCTTGCAGCAGGTGGACGGCAACAGTCATGAATAAAGAGAATATCACAGACAGTTGATAAACTGAGCTGCAAAGACCGACGCAACACTAAGTGTGAGTTGAGTGAGAGTCTTCGTATCGGTCATCATGCCATACAGATGAGTATTGGTGACCTTGGTTATTCTAAAGTTTGTTCTTGGTGGGTTTCACGAGTATTAACCGTGTTTCACAAGGAAACCAGAAAGGCCATTTTACTGTAACGACATACTGGCACTGGTTCCACATTGGCACAAGTGTGTAGCTCGTGATAGTGACTTTGTGGAAAAATAACTGCACTGGTTATTTAATAAAGCATCTTTTGTGTCTATGTTATGTTTTGAAAGTTAACAAGTGACTGATTTTGAGAAAATAGAAAGGAGTCATTGTATTTGAGGTGTCCCTTGGAAATTGTATGTTTGATTCATCATATTCTTATTTTGAGGGAAAAAACAGGAGGAGGGGGATAGCACTAAAATTTGTTTTCTCTTGAATTTTTTTATGAATTCAGGAATTTCTTTTAAGAGATTTTATTCCCTATTTTCCATTGTATTAACTCGTGCCACATCCCACTTCCTGGTTGAGAAAATGGGCTGATTATTTGCTCCCAGAGTTTTCCTGATAAATTTGAACATTTTTCTCTCTTGTCTTTCGTTTATAGAAGTTCAGAACAAAAACCGTGCTGCTATCCTAGCAGAGCTCAAACAGGAGAAGAGGAAACTCATGATGCAGAATCAGTCATCTATGAACAACCCCGGGGCCAGGTACAGTCTACCAGATGTTTGCTTGGAAGAGAATTGCTTGGGGAAAAGCAGCGTGGGAGATAATGATAATCCTTGCATTTGCACAATTGGCCGGCGCATTTCGCCCACAAAGCATACAGTCAATACACTTTACAGTATTGAAGCACTTTGAGATGATTTAAAGACATCGGGTGCTACATTAAATGCAAGGATTATCATTATTATGTATAATAATAATCCTTGCATTTGATATAGCGCTTTTCACGTCTTCTCGACGTCTCCAAAGCGCTTCACAGAATAGACTGTAAAGTGAATTGACCGTATATTTATGGGCGAAACACGGCAGCCAATTGCGCACAGCAGTGCACAAACATTTGTGGATTGAAAGGACTAATTTATTATTTTTTTTTGTTTTTGGTGGGATTATTATTTATACGGTTGACACCCAACTCTATCTCTGCCTCCACCCTCGACGTTAGGACCGTTGCTGTCCTCACAGAATGTCTGTCAGACATCAAGTCCTGGATGAGCGCTAACTTTCTCAATTTGAACATCAACAAGATCGAGGCTCTCCTGATTGGCTCCTGTCAGCACCTCCACACCTCAAGCGCTGACAGCATCAGCATCCAAGGATACACACTCCACCTTACTTAGCCAGTCCGGAACCTTGGGGTTTTGTTTGACCCTAAACTGTCCTTTCTACCCCACATCCATGCCATGACCCGCTCTGCCTTCCCCCACCTCAGTAACATCACCCGACTCCGCCACAGACTTTCCCCTCAAGCCACCGAACTCTCATCCACGCATTCATCACATCTAGGCTCAACTACGCCAATTCGCTACTTGTCGGCCTTCCCAACTCTTCCCTCCACAAGCTGCAGATCATCCAGAACTTTGCAGCTCCTGTCCTCTTCTGCCCCAGGCTCCTTGCCCTATCACCCCACCCTCACCCGGCCCTACTGGCTCCCCATCCCCCAGAGGATACAGTTCCAAATTCTCATCCTCATCTTCAAGGCCCTCCACAGCCTTGTTCCTTGCTACCTCTGTGACCTGCTAACGCCATATCAACCTGTCTACTCCCTCCGCTCAGCAGGCTCTGGTCTGCTTCATGTCACTCAGCCATGCCCGCCCCACCAGGCCTTCAGCCTTTCCACTCCCACCCTTTGGAATTCCATATTCCCTTCGCCTCGCTCGCTCCCTTGCCTCCTTCAAGGCACGTCTCAAAACCCTTAGCTGCGACTTCGGCCACCATCCTACCCCTACGCTCCCTGACTTCCACCCCTCCTGATCCCAATCCCATGCTGTGTCCAAATCCCTGACAGCATCTTGGGACGTCCTCCCGATGTGAAAGGCGCTATGCAAATGTAATTGTTGCTTACTATTAAGGAATGGGGTATAAATGACTGGTCACTTTTTGGGAATTGAATCACTTCTGAAATTTGCATTATTTGAAATGTGGTAATAATAACAATAATAAGCCTTGCATATGATATTGCCCCTATAAGGTCAAACAAACATCTCAAAGTGACTCACAAACATTTCTGTAAAATGTACTGACTGTGTAATTGTAGGTGATTGCAGCAGCCAATTTGCACACAGCAATGTCCCATAAACAGCCACAAAGTGAATGACTAGTTTTATCTGTCTGCTGGGATCCTGTGTTCGGGATCAGGTTATATGGGGGAAAAAATCTAAATTTCGTAATGAATATTTCAATTTACTGTTAAAAGCACCCTGGTAATAGTACGGGTCCTGAGTCACAGGAGTAATATTCCTTTTCATTAAATAAATTTGTAATTTTTATAATTCTTCCCCACTGCACACATGCTCTCTGGTGCTGTCTGGCCTCATATTGGGGTGAGGTTCAGGTGGCAAAGGTTGCCCTCGGGTATATCACCATAGTGATTGTTTGTGGGTGATGAGTGGCAGTCAGTGCTGACAGGCCACTCTACTGGAAAAGACGTCACAGCCGATACTGACCTTGTTTGAATTTTTAAAAAATAATTCACGTTTTTTACTGTCAAACTGAGGTTTGACTGGAGGAAGATCAAAGGATTATATTAAATTCACAGTCTCAATAGAGGAGTTTTAGGCTGATGCAAATTGAATGTTTTGCTTCAGCATATTGTTTTCGTATGTACTTCACCCCACAGAGAAAAACAAATTTAAAATTGTTTTTTGATCTTTGTTTTAACAAGTGCATCAGTAGTTCAATCATGTATATATTATACAGTATATTTGAATCGAAATGTTAGATATACAGTGTTTGGCTGAGTTGAAAATAATATAATAATTCTTGCATTATTCATGCATTAATCCTTGTATTAATCCATGTAGGAACCAGTATATCTGATGGTGGATGTTTATTTTATTGACTGTGTTTGTAATTAGTGGGCAGGATCCTGCTGGTTTGTTTGATTGAAATGGAAATCTATACAGAAGATACTTTGCAGGTAATATGAGATGATATCCTCAGACATTCCACTGCTGAAAATGAATTGAAGATCAGCTATTTCAAATGCAAGGATTGTTCAATAGACTTAAAAGTGAGCTGTTTTAACATAGCAAGTCTCGTTGTCAATGTGAGCTGCATATAATATTATTGCATTCCTCCGTCACAGTATTCCTTTATCAAGACCCGCTTTTGCTAAGGATTTTCGGGATCATGCAGAGCAACAGCACATAGCAGCACAACAAAAAGCGGCCTTACAGGTATAATGTTTAATTTCATGTGTACTCCTCGGAACAGTAACAGTAGTAACAAGCTTAGAGAATGGAATAGTTCCTTTTGTTGGTTTGGGGATATGCCAAGCTGAAATTGACAGGTTGCAGTTCCTGGGGTATCGAAGAATTGGGTCAGGCTCCCACTCCTTGGGATAAACATGACTGTTACCAATTTACAGTTTGTGGCTTATCTTTATCAAACTTTGTAGTCCCTTTCTCGGTTACTATAAATCTCAGCTGCACCCAGCTTTGCTCCTTCCGGGCTTATTGCACTGATTACATCGGTACAAACAATCAAGCTCAGGCTGGCNAAAAAACACCAGGAAATTGTTCTTCATGAAATAAGGACACAGATGTATCAGCAATCACAGCAGCTTCTTTTCTAATTAAAGTAATACGCTTTTAATTCCAAATGCTAAACAGATATTATAAATTTATATGTATCTAAACTAAGTAAGAAGTAAACAAAATAGCAATAATAGAAAGCTTTACCAACTATGTTTTTGTTTTGCAAAGCAGTACTTTTTCTTCATAGTGAAGAAAACACACCAACAATCAGGCAGGTCTACCCTCTCTCGTTTGAATTCATGTCTCTAGTGTTAAGACCTGCTGTTCTCTCCTGCACTGTCCTGTTCAACTGTGCATTTGGCCGCCCTTCTACCCCTACTCTCCCTGCCTTCCAACCCCTAGCTCGAGTCCAAATCGCTGACCGTCCAGCACCTTGGGACGTCCTCCCGACATGAAATATAATTTGTTGTTGTTGTTGTTGTACTCCTATTTGGACTCTCCAGTTAAATTATTTTTGAGGTTCGACAACACCTGACAAGAGGCCCAATCATTGATTAGAGTTTCGGGGAAGCTTCAAACTCGAGGAGTGAACAAACTTGCCTATTGTCTTGCCTGAAACTATCTTCAGACCAGACCTAATGCTGACCTGTGCTCCCACCCCTCGCTGTTGCAGACTCTATTTTTATTACACATGGTGGCTTTACCGCCTTTTGATTTTGAAATACTGTTGTGGCTGCTTTTGGCAGGTCTGGTGCTACGGTTCAGCTAACCACTAAGGAACTGAGGAGTAAGGTGAACCTTGTTTGTTGGTAGTAAAACTATAGTGTGTTTTTTAACCTTTAGGCTGTCGGCAGGTCTGTGGAGATTCATGTCTCTGTGGGCTAATACTTTCCATACATTTTTAGCTCTTGCATTGTGATGCTTGAGAAAAAAGCTAAAATTAATAATAATAATCATCAAATGTCAAGACTAAGTTTATTACTGTAATAGCTAAACCCACTAAAATAAATACAACTTATAAAATAGCTGTGCTCCTTCACTTTTATCTGCTCTTATCATTTTTTTAAAAAAACAATTTCTTCCCATCACTTGATTTTTCACTGAACCCACTCAGAAAGAGAATGTTACTGGCTAGTTTTGCAACCAATGAAAGAAAGTAAAAGATTAAAAGATTAAAATCTGCTCACTAAATACGGTAGAATGCCCTTTATAATACGATATTTTGAGTTCATAGAATTCCCACTACCTCATAACAACTTGCAACTTACATAACGCACTCCACGCAGAGTAGTGTCTCAGAGCGGTTAACAGTGGCAGAGCCTGACTCCGAGCCAGGGGTGGAGGTGACCGTAAGCACGGTCGAAAAGGAAGGTTTTCAGGTGGGACTTGAAAAAGTGGAGAGAGGGGGCAAGGCAGAGGGATTGAGGGAGAGTGTTCTACAATTTTGGGGCATAGTGGCTGAGAGCGCGGCCTCCACTGGTGGGACAGGGTAGGATCGCGGGTCCACACTTCCCCATGTGACTTCACCGATCCGCTATTAAAAAGGTCCATCTTCCAGGTCAGTAGTCGGTCACTGCCGATTGTCCCCTCCTGCACAATGCCCACATGCAGCACACTTGAACTGACCGGGGACCTAATGACCCGGACGTTGGCTGTTTTGGAGCGTGCAGGAAGCCTCAGAGGACCAGAGCACGCCTCACCTTCTCAGCGAATCCACATTCCAGCAAAGCATGGGGGTTTACTATGGGGTAATACTATGAGCTTCTACTATGTGTCTGCCAGAACACAACCAGTTTCATTGGCTATTTACTTGTGTGCACTCAAACCAGGCTGGGTGCTCTGACTTTTAAAAACAATTATATATGAATTTTCTTTTTGTTAAATAAGCCAACCACAACATTGACATTTCAATAAAACAAAGAGAGGAAATCAGAAGGCAAGCATGAGTTACATAGCTTACAGGTGCATAATTTTTAAAAAATAAAGAGATTATTATAAGAATAAATTTACAAATAAATGATGCGTTCAATTCCCATTTGGAGATGAGAAAACAAATATAGCAAGCCAGACTGGTAATGTATATTTTCAAGCCTACTGTACACAGTTAGTTTGGTTTTGTGGTGGGTTGAGGATTTGGGCTGGGATCATTCCTGACTAAAACAATAAATAAAAACAGTTTTAATAATGAGCGAGCGTTAATAAAAGGTGGCTTCTCCAAAGTTAGCTCAATCTTTAAGACTAAGATGTCACTAGCTTGTCAACGATGTGTACTGGTCCATATCTTCTCTTCAGAGGAGGGAGAGGTCTGGTCTGAGTCATAGCCCATTGGATGATGAGGGATTGACTGTGTTAATAATAGGACCCATACCTTATAGAATGAGGCTTAATTTAACCCCCCATTTATAATAATAATAATTTTTGCATTTGTTACAGCGCTTTTCATGTCTTCTAGACGTCTCAAAGCGCTTCACAGAATAGACTGTAAAGTGAATTGACTGTATATTTGTGGGCGAAATGCAGTAGCCAATTGCGCACAGCAATGTCCCACAAACAGTCGTGGACTGAAGTAACCAATTTTTATTATTTATTTATTTTTTATTATTGCAATTATTACATTTGATCAACTCACGTGAATAATCCTCACTGGATCTGAGTTGTGGACCAGGGAAGAATGGGGCTCTTTATCCTTGCTGCCTACAAGTTTTCCACTTTTCTCTGTCTGCTTTTCCTCCAGTGGTATATATATTACAGTGTATTTCTTCTCATATTCTGTCTTGGGAATGCATTTCTGAAATAAATCAATTTCCCCTCCCTTCTAACCATCTGATCCACTCTAGCCCATTCAGTCCTTCCTCATTCCCTTAAAATATGCTTTCCAAGTCTTAAGAGTGTGCCCTCTCGATCACAAGCTGGTCATTAAACACCGTCACAGTGTGCTGATTAGCTTCACCATAGCCTGCTGTATCATCCCTATATTAGATTGAGTGTCGACTCTGCTTGTAAGCTTTTTTAAAACCATTTGTGTTATGTAACACTCCAACATCATATTCAAAAATATGTTTCCACTCCTATATTTACTCTCATTATCTTTCCCCTCCAAATTTATTCCTGGTGAATTAATCGCCTGTATTAATTGAGGTTGATCCTTTCAAATGCTTTCTTTATTTGAATCAATGATCCTTTTGTGTGTGTGTGTGGAAGGGTGTTGTATTTGGTGTAGGGATATTTTTTAGAGTGGGGCTGGGGGTTGCTGTGGGAGCTGACTGAAGAAATTATCTCAGCTGGTCAAGAGGACAGATCAAGTGGAATTGCGGAGTGCTGGCTGTGAAAAATAAGACAGTAATTTAATCTATGGTCAGGTGACATGAAGCAGAATGGTTAAACTTGAATAATTTATGGCCATCTGTGACTGGAGATTAAATGACTCCTTTCACACCGCCACTGGCTTTTATTTAACATCTGTACTGTGGTCTTAATGAAATGGAAAATCATGTCAATAAAAATTAAAGCGCATCAATTGAAAACAAAGAGGATGATTTGATGTTAACACTGAACATACTGTAATATAACCAGATTAACGGCAATATTAGAATATATATTACTTTTTTCAGCGTAAACTGTAAATCTGTTTTTTTGATATGCACTTTTCATGCATTTAAATTTCATGCAAAATTTAAAAACTCCCACAAATTTAATTTATTAACTCGCTCTAGATTTTACTGATCAAACCTAGACTACTTGCAGGATGCAGCCTGCACAACGTTTGATATTTTTCTCCATCTATGGCACTCCGTTTAAAAAGATGCTTTTGGATTTAGAAAAACTGTGGCAAAATTTAACATATTGAGGCTTTAGACATTATTTAGCTTTAAAAAACAGGACTTTTTTTAGTCCGTATGATTTTATTGGTAACTTTTCTCCAATTTACCTTCATGTATTTTTGAGGCTGGATTAGTAAATTGATTTAATGTATGTATTTAAGACTGAGTTGATAACATTCTCTCCTTATGAAAGCAGCGTGTATTGAAGATTGGAATGCTTTTCTATATTAATATTGTTGGCTGGTGATGTTTTATCGGTCATATTTAATTTGCATTGCCCCCAAATCTGGCCAGACCATTTAATCTTTTCTCGAGAACAGTAACTAATTGCTATTACAAGGAAGCGAATAGATCGTTTAATTATTGAACTTCATTTGACATTAACGTGTTTTTTTTTGTCTCTCAGCATGCACATGCACATTCGTCAGGATATTTCATAACCCAGGACTCTGCTTTTGGAAATCTTATTCTTCCCGTGTTACCTCGATTGGAAGCAGAATAAACAAGACACTGCACCAGAGAAGATGAGAGCATTTACAATAATGAATCACCAGACTTTTTTTTAAAGATTTTTTTTACGGTATTTCATTTTTCACACTTGCTGAACACACCGATATAGGGAACGAAGAAGAGAACATTCAAAGATTAATAGAATCATTGGACCTTTAGATTTTCTCTCACACAGTAGATTGTGCACAGACTTTCTCTTTTTGTATTTTTATATAAAAGAAACGCTCAGTGTAACTTTAAGCCACTCCTAGCAGAAGTTCTGCTTTTGACTTTAGAGACTCAGTTATCAGAATCACCGTCTATTCAACCAGGTCTAGGACAGGCAGAGACATGCTGCCGCGTGTACAGAAGTGTTGCCTCTCCATGGAATCAATACGTCCAATTGTGAGCAAAGTCATATTTACAATGGTTATTTTTGTCAGGTCTGTTCTATGGAAAAGAAAAAATAATGCTCCATAGTAAATCAGTTAAACAATGTTTGGAATTTTGGATAACGAGGAAACAATGCCACATCTGGTCAGGGAATACTACAGTTCTAATATTTACTACTTGAAATGATTGATTTTGTTGTGACAAATATAATACCTTGTTAAGTTGTTGTAAAGGTAGGTTGCTGTATGTTCCTTTCAATGTCTTCATTACTCGAGGAAAAGTCATTACTCGAGAAAACCTCAGCGGCAGCTTTTCTGTGCTGCTGTTACAAACCAATGCTGTACTGGAGGGATTAGAAATGTACAAATCCATGATGGCAATTTGGGGTCAATTTTGTAGTATTTCACAGCTCGATTTCTTATTTAGGAAATCTGAAAGGGACGTCTTCTGGTAAGTCGTGTTGACTCGAGGGAAACCTGCTCCAAAATTAGATTAAGCCAGCACTGCATTCCCAAACCCATGTCATTTACTTCTGAATATCTTTCTAAAGAAATCTCGCTAAGAAATATCAGTGAAATTCCCTTACTGTTTCTAAACTTGTTTTCGTCCTTCCAATTCAAATTATTTTAAATAATTGGTTTCTTAAGCTTTAAGTCTGTTTCAATAGTTTACAGTATTGATGAGAACACTGCCAGCTAAATTAACTACATTCAGTTGATGAATATGGGAAGACATTTTTCAAGTTAAATTTGGCCAGTTATTGTCTCCATTTTGTCTTTGCTGCATCCTGAAAGTCTGGGGCATGTCTTTCACTTATTATTACATTATTACATTTTCGTATTATTTGACTTGGTAATTTAAAATAATTTAACGGTTTATCTGTGCCTGAAAGTTTGCCTTGTCTTAGCCTTAAGACCAACGTCTTGAAAATAATGCTTGTTTTTGATATCATGTTGAAACGCCTCAAAGAGCTTCACAGAGAATTTCTGTTTCCCTTATTTCTATTTATAGGCTAACGCAGCAATGAAATTGCACACAGAAATTCCCCACAAACAGCCATGAAGTGAATGACCATTTTATCTAAAGGAATGTTGGCCCAGGTAAAAATATTTACCTGAGGAGAAACTCCCTTCTCTTTTCAAGTAGTGTAATGGGATCTTTGATGTCCACCTGAACAGGTAGAGTGGGCCTTGGTTCAACATCCCCTCCAACAGTACCCCAATAGTAGTACTTTGGAGTGACGGCAAGACTAGGAACTCAAAAGTCCCTGAGCCCCCAACCTTATGACCCAGAGGCATAAATTCTACCAACTGAGCCAGTTCAACATCTTAAATGCAAGATTTGCAAAATTCTTAATTTTGAGGCAGGGCTTTTGCAGTTTTGAAGCTTTATAAAAAGCTTGAATCTCAGAAACCTTCCACTCAAATGACTGATTCATTGTTGGTAACCTGCAACTTCTACATTTTCTGTGATTTAAGATTGCATTTAGTGTGACTATCTAGAATTCACCACTGCACGCTGGGGCATAAGATGACTTCCACGTTTATTCCCCCCAACATGGTCAATTTGGCTTTGAAAATAAAATCAGCCATTGCTATTACTACTGGACCAAGCCAAGTGCAGAGCCAGCTGCTCAAGTTGCTATCCTCCAACAAGGTTCATTCAATGTTTGTGTTTTGAGAGTGGTTTGGCAATGCAAGAGCTGCTATGCTGAAGTGCTGAGCATGAAGTGGTGGAATCTGCGATTACACCTGCAATTTCCAACCAGCAGGTGGGCAGATAAAAATCCTAAGGCCAGTCAAACTCCAGGTCAGTTATAGTGCATGCCTCCTCATATCTGATTGTGGATTGTCATTACTTCAGATCTTAAAGCAAACTATCTATCTACTCCCTGGGAAATCCTCCCGATGTGCGTTTGGCCATATGTAGAGACTTCATGGAGATCAAGAACAGAAATGCACAAGGATTTTTTTCTTTGCTGGTAACATCAAAATGTTCTTATAGCTGTTGGGTGCTTTGTTTTGTGCTGCTTTAAATGCCAACTTGCAACCTCTGAAGTGCACAAGTTTCTTGTACTTGCATTAAATATAGAAGATGCAATTGTTTTGGTTCATACAGTACTTGAAAACTAAACGTGTGCCAGTATTGAGCACAATGTTAGTTTAGAGCCAGTGACAAAAATATTTAGTCTGTCCAAAAACTAGTTAAATCCTTGTGCAGGAACTTGTAGAACTGCCTAGTTTGTGAGAGAAAATGTGAGTTTCATATTTGGTGATGAGGCGCTTTTTAATTTTTTTTATATATCGACAACTGTAAAGATACAAATGGTTTAAAAACACATTTTGAATGCAGCATACACAAAACTTAAGTCAACAATTAAAAGGAACAATATTAAAATCAACGGTAAATTTGGATGGTCATATACTAGTTAATGTAGCCAAAGTAAAGGAAACTTTCAGTTACATCCATTTATTTTAGTTGTGAAAGTTCACTGTTATTTTGGAAGCAAAATTGTCTAGTGTTGGATTTAGTAAGCGTCTCTACTCATTTTAAAATGTAATTATTTTTGATTAGTTTGGGTTGACTGTCATTTGAGAAGTTCAATTGACAGTTTTTTACCAGTCGCACTTGCCTACCTCCTCAGGCACCAGGTGTTTGTGATCTATTACAGATTTGAAAAGTATTGTGAGCCTCGAAGCAGTAAACTGCACATTAATTATCACACATGGGCCCAGCACGCACCCGTGTTCTCTGGTACAAAAGGATGATTTAGTCTCATGGACAGTGGAGTAGTTATTTCAAGTATTATGTTCACCCAGTGTATTGGTGTGATTCATTAACATGCTGAAGCAATTGCCTATCATTTATGTTTCAGATACTGTAACACAATAAAAACTACTTGTGTTCCTGCTTTGAATTTTTATATCTATTGTGTCCAACCCCAATCTACAGTGGGAATTATCATTTAGATTGATGTGCAAAAATTAGAATGAGTCTAGTCCCAACAAATCGTTCCAATGTTAGCATACATGAAAGGCAGAAACAATGTCAAATAAAGGTAGTAAAAATGGAAACCAAAAAATTCTGCTGGTATTCTGCATGCATGCTTGGTATTGGGTTAGATTTTAAAAGATTTAAAGCAAACGGATAAGAGTTTGATGACAACAGACCGATTGCTAAGAAAAACACCATACATTGGTAATATTAGTGCTCACTTGTACAATGTTGATGAGGTTAGAGGGCAGGGGTGAAGAGGAAACCAGCAGATGCAACTGATTTAAAATATTTATTTAATATTCCTTGCATTTGATATAGTGCCTTTCATCTCATTGAGGTCTCAAAGCGCTTCCCAGGATTTACTTCATGGCTATAAATTGTAATGACTTGTAGATAAACATAGCAATTCATCTGCACCCAGCAATTTCTCATAAACAGCCTTAAGGTGAATAATCAATATTTGTATTTGGGAGATTGTTGGCTAGGACACCGGGAGAAACTGCATTCTGTTTTTGAATAGTGCCATGGGATCTTTAACATTCATCTGAACCAGCAGATGGGACCTTGTTTTAACGTCTCATCCAAAGGACGGCATCTCCAACAATGCCACAAACCCCCAGTGCTGTATTGGAGTGTCACCTTAGACCTACAACCTGATTCAGAGGTAAGAATACAACTAAGCCAAGCTGACAAACTGAGAAAGGCAATGATGAATAACTTTGTCTCTGGAGTGAGTTACATTTAGAATAATTACCTTTTCTTAACAAACAGTGTTTGTGGGTGATGTTATTCCTCACAGGGGCCCTACTGTCTTTGCCGGAAATGTGAAGACATTTTTGTTGGGAAAAGTAATAAAATCTCTGTAGTCTGTGAAGCTGAACTAAAAGCTGTTTGTGACATTGGATGCCTGTAGGCTTTGCACCCCCCACCTCCGATGGTGGACTATGTAATTGGTCACACTGCTTAAACTCATCATGCAGAAGGTGGCTCCCACACCAGTGATCAACGCTCTGGGCAATGAACTGTTCAATGGAAACAGATGTGAAAGTGACTCTCGGATTGTCCTGCGTGCATTTAAAGCGAGTGGTAGAGAAGACCAGAGAAAGCAGGAAAGTAATGTTGCATGTTTTTTTCCAGATAGTCTGAAAGATGTTCCAAGAATACGATTTCTGAGTTCAGGCAATAGTCTCCTTTGGAAAACAAGCAGAGCTGTGTCTTTAGGAGGTGGGAAAAGACAGTCCTAATTGTGTTATCCGTGGTCTGAAATCTTTCATGGTCTTAACTTTAAAACCATTGACCTAACGGCTAAAGCTAACAGCAATTTACACTTATACAGCGCTTTTCATGTTGGGATAACACCTCAAAGCTCTTCATATAGTTGAGAGCCCAAGCTGCATGTGTGTGTGTGTGAGGGGGGTCAGCATGCTCACACAGCTGGTTCTTAAGGCAGGTTGGGATGGGGAGGGGGCGGATAGACCTCCAGCTGTCTTAAAGGTGAGCTGGAGGCTTGATTGATAGGTCCATTGGCCAATCGAGGTGAGCTTGTTGAGGCATCCTCATCTCTGATTGGCCGATAGACCTGTCTATCAAGCCAACAGCTCACCTGTTGTTTTAATCAGAGGTGAGGACTCCCTGAAGAATTTGACTCGGCCTCACTCGCCCCAAAGAATATTCTCACCTGCCTCAAATAAACATAAATCCTCTGTTGTTAACTTAAATAGGCTGTTGCCAGTGAATTATGGTGGTTGAATCAGACCATGTAGATACATTCAAGAGAAAGCTTGACCATCGCATCAGGACGAGGGGAATAGAAGGATATGGGAGGGAGTAATGAACGGGTGAAGACTCATGTGGAGTATAAACATCGGCACAGACTGGTTGGGCCGAGTGGCCTTGTTAACATTCTTTGGATCTTTGAGTCAACTGCCCTGTCCTCAAATGCCCCTCATGGTGACCTGTTCCAGTCGTTAATTAACCTTTGGGTAAGGAAATGGTTCATGTTGTCTGTCCTGAAACTACCCTCTAACTCTAAAGCTATAGAAGCTGGGAATGTTCACACTGAAGATTAATGGTCTTTTCCAATCCTGTACAATCCTATGTTCCAAGAATGGTGTTGACCATTGTCGACTTCTCTGACTGAGGCGTACTTCTGTAGCAAAAAAACTACTAAAGTTATTAAAGTTAAAAGGCTCAAGAAATCTGATGTCCTACCAATCGAGATTCTCTATCTAATTCTGGTTGCAAACTGGCAAAACGTAGTCAATCAAGGTACGTGAAACACAAATGCATGAAATCTCCGACTTCTAAATAGGAGTTACTAGCTGTTTGGTCAGCACAGTGTCTGACACACAGGGAAACCTATCAACATGCTAATATAGTATTGAAACCAAACTACTGAGAGTTCCACAAATGGATGTCAATTTCTGTTTGCCTGATATGGAGTGCGCACTCTTTCCCTTGAGGAACACACCTTTCTCAACTAATCCCAGAGACTATAGCTATGGATTGGCAAGAGCCAAGGCTTGGGGACCCCCAGAGTATGCTTTGTGGATACTGCTAAGTTTAACTAGATAAGAATAAGTAGGTTGCCATTGCAGACACTAGCAAGCTTCCCACTCTATTTCTAGCTATCCCCCACCCTTTGTAACTCCATCCCATATTCACTTCGCCTCGTTCCTTCCCTCGTCTCCTTCAAGGCACATCTCAAGACCCTCCTCTTTGACTGCACCTTCGGCCACCCTCCTACCCTCCCTGCCCTCCACACTCCCTGATCCAAATCCACCCCCCACAGTTCAGGTCCAAAACCCTGGGACGCTCTCCCAACGTGAAAGACACTAAACAAATGTAATTTTGTATTGTATTGTAGCTAGAACTATTGGACCATTAGGGCTTTGGTTTGCAGGGTTAACAGGGATCGAGTAGGAAGAACCTCTATTGACTGGTCTGCTCCTCCAAGTCCTGCCAACGATCCAGGCTGATTGGGCTGCTATCAGCAGTGCCTTGGGAGTAGATGTCAGGAGCGTAGCTACTTAGCCTGCAGGGGTTTCTGTTCTTATCTTTAATATGCAATTCTCTGCAGATAAGAGATGCATTAATACTTCATGACATTCCTGGTAATTTGATTCTATGAAATACTAACCCATGTAATTTTAATGATATACATTCCTTAG